ACATACCCAGCACAGCTTTAGACTCGGCTGAAGGGCACCAGCAGAAGGAAAATCTGGCCATCAGATGGACAAGCTGCCTGGCTCCGACGAGCTCAGGCTCCCCAGTGCCTTGCAGACATCAGTTTGAACACTTTACCTGCTCTCTACCCACTGTTGGTTTTAGCAAGTTAACCTTTCTTCCAAATAACAACTTCTTCCTCACAGGACTGGTGCAAGTTTCACTTGGATCCAAGAAAGGGGGAAAAAAAAAAAAAAGGAAATGTTTAGAAATGGAGGGAACATCTTGGTAATTGGTAGCAGCGTGAATGCTCCAGACTTGGCATGGATCCTCCTGCCTGTAAGCTTCATTAACTTCTAATAAAAGAATAGTTAATTTTTCAGACTCCTTCTTTAATAGTATTTCATTGTTGATCGGGGTTTTCTTCCACTTCTGCTTGTAGCTGAACTTGTGCTTTATTTAATGACGTTTAGTCTTATTCTATGTGTTATTTGTAAGCATGAGGGAATGCACTTGATTTGGGGCTTGGGATTTTTTTGATGTTTCATGAGACTACCTGAAAATGGTTCTTTTTTTGCATCAGTAATATTACAGAGCTCTAGTTCTTGTGGTGCCATGAACGTCAGTGCTCCTTCAGCTGGAGCAGGAAACCTCTTTTGCCTCTGCTTTCTCCTGGGTTGAGTTGCTTGTGTGATGGCAGCAGGAAGAACTCCAACCCAAATCTGCAAGCTTGTGTGCTGATGTGACCAGAGGATTTCAGCCAGGCTTTTTATTTCTTTCCTTTTTCTCTTGAAATCCTGAATCATCTTTCAAGGGAGGAAGAATATCAGCCAGCTGGGAAATGCAGGAATGGAGAAACCAACTTGGTCTGTTCTGGAAAGCCTAAAAAAACCACTCCTTCCCTCTGGAAAAGAAAAAAAAAAAAGCAATCCTCTGAACCAAACCAAGGAGCAGATTTGTGAAACCGAGCAGAGTTTCTGTGCAGAGCCCCAGGTGAAACGCCAGCCCCCACCCCTGAAATTCCCTGCGCGTCCCCTGCTGCCGCCAGCGCGGGGGGATTTCCTCCTTCCACTCTCGCACGTTCCTGAGGAAGCTCTGAATTTCCTGAAACCGGAGCACAAGGTGGTTTCCCCAGGCTTTTTCAGGAGACTTTTACCTCTTACATGACATCAGTTGCTGGAGGCGGTTGAGTGCAAAGAGAATGTTTTGAAGTAACCTCTTCAGAAATGCCGGGTCTCTCCTCCTCGCGGCTTTCGAGGATGGGTTTAGGTTTGCTCAAGGGCCACCCGTTTGGCCAGACTCACAAGGTCCTTCACAAGAAGACATCATCTGGCTGGTGTTTGTGTTCCTTTGCTGCTGATTCAGGTATTGTGTGTCTTGTGGGTGTGGAGTTTGAGGGCACCGTGTGTAAAGCACACAGTGCTGGAAGGTGACAGGCGCGGGGCAGGCACGCAGGTGAGATGGCAGCCGGGTTCTCCCTGCCCCGTGTTATCAGAGAGAAAAGCAGAGTAACTCAGATCTTGGGGTTTGTCTGGCCCTACTGTACAAGCTGTGTTCAAGCAGAAATGCTCTACATGCCTTGAACTTGGCAAAGAGTGTCCACTCAAGCTGTATAATTAAGCTGGGAATTGAGATTTCCTTAGAAGCAATACAGAGCTGAGCAATGAGTGAGGGGTTAAGGAATACTGCAGATCTCTGGGTTTTCATGTACGTGTTTGTGTCTGAAAATGACTCTGATAGACGTCTTGGCTTCACTCTTGGAGGAAGCTTCTCTTAGTTTTTATGTATGTGTGTATATGAATATATATATGTGACTCCCTTAACTTTCCCAGTCTGCTCCTGAGTGTTGTCCTTGAAACTACCTGGGGCATGTCTGCCAGAACCGCAGCTCCTGACCCATGGGCTTCTCTCCTGTCTGCTCCTCAGCAGAGGATGAGCTGCAGCCCAGAATGCTGCCAGCCCGGAGCAGGACAGCAGTGACTCGTCACCTTGTTAATCACTGCTGGTTAGTGCTTGGCAGCGTCACCAGGCAGGGTCCGATCCTGCCGTTCACCTTGTGTCTCGGCTCTGACCCCGTTCCTGCCAGCAGCTTCTGGTGCCCAGTGCCAGACCTGGCTGCCTTTCAGCTCCTGTTCTTGCTGTAGGAAGCGTGCTCGGTGACTTGGAAGTCTGGAATCATTCCTGTCCTCTGAATTAAAGGTTTCAAATGCAAGAAGCAGCTTATTGTGCTTGGTGCCGTTCCGGGGTTGTGCTGTGTTCTGCTTACACGCCGGGCAGCTATTCCCCTGGCAGGGATTCCTTCATAAAACATGAAGCTTAATTTTCATGTGCTTCAGACTGTTCCCTGAAAGATCCTGAAGATCCTTTTGTTTGGTTGTTTTTCGTGGCTGTTGGAGCATGGCTCAGCATTGCACTTGGGGTTTGGCACTAGAGGAGAGGTCCATGTGTTTTGGCTCGTGTGCCCCTGTGGTTCTCTGTCCCTGGCCATGGCACGGCTCTGTGTGCCACAGCACTTGTCCCCGTCCCCAGCGAGCGCCGTCACTGGGCTTCAGGCTCCCGTGTCAGATCTCTCTGGTTGTGCCTCATCAGCGTTTCTTACCGCAGTGCTGCTTTGCATGCCCTTCCCCATGCCTTTGCATGATTCTGCAGTCTGCCTTGGCACAAGTCTTGTAAATTCTGCTTTAGCAAAGCAACCGGGAGGAGAAGATTTGTAAAAGCGGCTCTTTTCCCAGAGAGAGAGTCGTCTCTAAGCGAGAAAACCTGCTGGTGGATGTTAACTCAGCCCACAGATCTCGAACGGGGCTGGCATGCTACAGCTGCTCGCTTGTGCTGATGTTTCTTGGTGGGGAGGAAGGTACTTGATAACTCAAGGCTGAAATCTGCTGTAGAAGCAGCAGTGCAGATGCTCCTCTGCCAGTCAGAGCAGCCTTTTCTCCCAGCTGTTTGCTCCAGCAGCGTATCACGTTGGCTGAGAGAATTCCCTTTTCTCTGCTGCTCAATCAGGCCTTCTGGAAAAGATTCCTTGCCGTGTTATCTGTGTGTGTCAGATGAGACTAATTCCTTTTTTACGGTGGACTTGAGATGTACTTCTTACCCCAGAAGTGTCACCCTGTTTGGAGTCTGGTGGCTTTACTGGCTGTGCCCAAAAGAACTGGGAGCCACCAGTGCCTGGGAAGGTGGAGGGGAGAAAAGCGAGGAAGTCTTTGAGGCTGGAGAGCTGCTGACTGGAAGCACTTAGACTTGTTTAAAGTGTGTTAGCACGGTGTTCTAGAGCACTTCTGGTTTAAAACAGATAAATAAATACCTGGATTGTTAGAGACTGCACCCCCTGTTTCCATCCCCACTTGTATTTAGCACAGCAGGGTCTATGTGCAGTATTTGGTTTTAAAAATGCTTTTCCTAATATGTGATGGGGTCAATAACCTCCCTCTCTCTCGTTTCCCTTCTGCTAGGTCGCTATCAAGATAATTGATAAGACACAGCTGGACGAAGAGAACCTGAAGAAGATATTCAGAGAAGTGCAGATCATGAAGATGCTTTGCCACCCACATATCATCAGGTTATACCAGGTAGGAGCACTCTGCAGTGGATTTTCCATCCCTCTGCACTACTATAGCTTTACACTGAATAGTAGTGCTTACTCTAGGGTTACCCCTCTGCTTCTGGGTGAAATGCTGGGAAAGTCCTTTATGTTTTCAAGGTCTCAGAGTACTTGGATTAGCGGGGCAGGGGAGAACAGTGTGGCTGATCCCTGTCTGTTCTGGGAGCTCACGCTTCCGCAGCGTGCTGGCCTCTTGCCATTTGTTTATGGCTATTGTGTGCTCTCCAGTTTCCCAGTTGAAACCGGATGCGGGCTCCCTTCTCAATTTAAGGGAGAGACTAAGTCTTGCCCACTAGCAGGACCGAGAGCCTGCGGCTCCCCTGCTCTCCTCTGCCTGCCCTGTGGCCCTGAGGACTTGCTGATCTGCTCTGTGCTTTCCTGGAAGGGGATCAATACCACAGGCAGACCCGTTTTTCAATGTTGTTTGCAGACTTTTTCTCCAGATTCTTTGGCATTTTTAGTCTGCAAACAAAAGCACCAGAGACAGAATCCACGTGTGTTGCCTTTTACCCCCGTATTCAGCAGCCACTGCAGAATTGGGGTGTGTTTAAGGTACTTAAGGAATGCTTCTCTGCAAACTGGAGCCTTCAAACTTTCTTTGAGCCAAACCCATGGTTTTTTCAACTGGTTTTATTCCATCTGAAGCTTTTGATACGACACTGACCAGGTGACACTTGTGGCTTGTCTTTGCTAAGGTGAGAAAAGGGTACCAACTGTGGTGTGTGTTTCATCTGGCCATTCTTGCTGGGTACTGGCATTTATTTTTAGATAAAAACTACTAAGCCCTGGTGTTGGGAATTCAGAGCCTTTCACAGCTTTTCATCAGGAATCTGAGTGTAAAAATCACGTTTCCTTGAGCTTATAAAACTTACAAGGTCTAAGAGAAAAAGGAGAAAGTGTCTGTAATGATAGTAGTCTGTAATGTAAGAGATTCTGTTTTTCTGGAAACAGAAATGTGCTTAAAAAAAATCTACCTAGGAGTTTTCTGGACCTGTAGTGGCCCTGGTAAGTGGGAGCTGCGTGTCATGCCCTGTGCCAGTGAGCAGAATTGAGGTTCTTTATTATACTCCTGCTTTAACACTCAGAAAAACAGGGATCCAGCAGTTGAAGCAGGTGCTGTTGTCTGCATCAGGCACGTCTCTTTAAAACACCAACTCTGCATGTTCTTAGCAAGCACAAGCAGCGTTGGGCTCCACATACCCAGCTTCTCTGTTGGAATAACAGTCTATTTCGTGTCAAAAGGTGAACTTTCACTTGTCTCTGAAGCAGAGAAAAGCCAAATGAAAATCACAGTGTTTCCAGGCCTTCTCTAAACACCCCGAGGCTGGCAATTGACCTGTCCTTTTTCCATTGACAGGGCTGGGAAGCCTGCTGCATAAATAGCATCAGGTTTTGGAAAACACCCCAAGCGTGTAGTTGCCTGAAGTCGGGTCACAAAACATAATCCTGGCACAGAGCAACCCTTGGAGCCACCCTTACCCATCTGCAGGCAGCAGGGCATTATGTGTGGCTTTCTGTGGGCTCGGTGTGATTGGGTCACAAAACATAATCCTGGCACAGAGCAGCCCTTGGAGCCACCCTTACCTGATCTGCAGGCAGCAGGGCGTTATGTGTGGCTTTCTGTGGGCTCGGTGTGATTGTGCACCCTCACCCACCACCTTTTAACCATTAAAAAACATAGCTGAGGCGTGTCTCTAGCATGTAGTGCCTTGCTCTGTGCTTTTATTCCCTCTGCATCCTGATAGGGACTTTCCTGGAAGCTGCTCAGGACTCTGAGGTCTCACAGAGGGTGATAGCAGCGTGCTCAGAAATCAGTTGTGTGCTTCCCAGAGGCCGGTGCTGTGGCCCCGCTGCTGTGCCAGGCTCTGCCAGCCCCTCGCTGCCTTTGTCTGCAGGCTGCCTGCTCCTTTAAACAAATCCCATCTCATAAATTGCTGGCCTTGGCAGGTTGGACTGCTGCGGCCCCAAAATCCCAATAGGCTCTTAAAAATGTGTGTTAAAACCAGTTTGAAATGGGGCATTGCCTGGCTGAGGCGTGTGGGCACCCTAAAGCAAAGCCTGAGCTCTGGTGTATTTTGAATGGGTGTTGAGCCATTTGGAAGTCACTTACTGAGTCAGGCAGTGTCCCCCCTTTGGGTTATTTCAGAGCCTGCAATGCACTGGTTAATTAGAAAAGTGAGCTAGTTTGGTTGCAGCACATCTGAAAAGTCTCCCAGGCTGCTGGAACAAGACGAGACCGGGGAGCAAACGCTAAAGGGAAGGGAAATAGAGGAGGAGGAAGGTGCAGGTGAAGTGTTTAGTTACAGATTTCATGTTTTAAATGTGCTGTTTGATTCTTTCCCCAGTTCCTGTCCATTCCTTTGCAGAGCTCTGTAAAGCATGAGAAAGGAGTATTTTTTTATTTGATGAAAGCAGTTACATGTCTTATAGAAGGAATCAGTTTGATTTTATATTAGTTGTATTTCTTTTGGCTCACAGCAGTCTCCTTATCTGTCACTTTTCTGTCCTTGCATCCAGGTTATGGAGACGGAGAGGATGATTTATCTAGTGACAGAGTATGCTAGTGGAGGGGAGATATTTGGTAAGTACATTTATTGCATTCTTTAATCAGATAATGCACTTGGTCATTACAGTAAACTGAAAATAGCTGCCACACTCTCTTGTTTCAGTTGAGAGATGCCCTTCAGCCTGAAAACTTTCCATTGTCAAGAGGGGTAAAGAAATAAATGATACCAACTTGATGGAAAAATAAGTTCCCTAACCTCTCTTTCTTCACTGGCTTTCACTGACAGATGGTGCTGCTCCTCTTTGATGCTGACTTTGGGATTAAAGATGTTAGAAACAGTCATCCAGTTGTGTTTTCATGTGTTCTGAGCACTTTCCTTCCCAGCGACAGCAGAACTGTTGCTGTTTGGTAGTAGCTTCCACAGAAACAGGCTGTCTTGCAGTTCTGTAGTGTTTTGTTCTCCAAACTCTGTGTTTTCTTATCTTTTTAATATCTGATGTTATCTTAGCATGTATTAGCTACATCCACTTTAAACTCCATTGTCTGCTGACAATGTTTTGGCTGAGCTTTCTTGACCACAGAAGCTACTCTTTAAAGGCAAGAAAAGTATCTGTGCAGTACAATTGCGAGAACTGCTGACTGATTTATTAATTTGTTTGTTTTATTGCCCTGTCCAATAAGAAAACTTGTAGAAATAGAAATTTACTTGCATGCTGGAAGGTTGTGGCAGCCGACAGAGTCGGAATTGTGCAAGATTGCTCTTCACTAGCTTCAGCCAACCTCAGCCTCAGAAAAAGGGGAAAATCCTTCATGCTTGAAGCGACCTGGCGTCAGTCCTCTTGCAGGCAGTGTCCTCGCGAGGACAGTCACACAGGGCCTGCCAGCTAAGTGGAAATCCTCTCCTTTTGTCCTCTGAAGTCACCGCACAAGTTTTGCTTCTGCTGTCAGAGCCTCTCGCTCTGCTGGAACCGAGGCTGAGTTGTAATAAAAGATGAAACTCTGCAAAGCAAGAGAAGCCCCATATTAAGGAAAATGTGACAACTTGAGCTGAAAAATGCTGGTTTCCAGTGAATCTGGTCTAACACCAGTTGCTCAGCACCTTTGTAGGTGGCTGTCATGCTTTCTTCTGACACTGCCCGTGTCCTTTGGATTTCTTCTTCTCCGAGATGGTGGCGGCTGCAGGAAGAAGCAGGTAGCGGCTGATGCTTGGGAAGTGTGGGTTGCCTGGTGAAAAACCTGACTTTGTCCAGCTGAGCCTTCCAGATGTTTCCTCAAACATGAATCAAACACCTAACAGTTCTTTAGGCTTGTGAAATTCCTCTTACCTTGTGCAGCGAGCTGCATTTGCAGCAGAATCCCTGGAATGCGTGTTAGAGTTCGCTCGTGCGTGGATCACCGCAGAGAAGTATAAATCGCTTCTTGCTTTTTCTCCCTCTTCTGTGGAATTTGGCAGACGAGACAGGCTCATCTTTTTTTAAATCCAGAACTATGTGTGAGCTCGTATACAAACTTAGAATGGATTATTTTGGTTACAAAAATAGCCTTCTGCATGAGTCGAAGTGAAAAGTCTTAATTGCTCCTGCAATATTTCATGCTGTAGTAAACCCAGCTCATTCCCATGACACTGCCCAGCATTTTCTCCTCCTTGGGAGCTGGGAGCAACAGCCCCGATGTTTTTCCAGGCTGAAGCCGGAGAGCTGTGCCCCCATTAGCCAGTTCTGAGCATTTTTGGGTGCTGCATGAAGCCCTGCGTGCCCATAGTGTTACTGCAGAGAGGGGGAAACTCAAGTCTCGGCTTTTTGTAATCGGAGTTTCCTGAGGAGCCATGAGGACTTTGTTCCAGCAGCGGAAGCGATTCGCAGGGAGGAAACAGCAAGCCAATTTGGAAAGGTTTCCTTGTGGTCATCAGTGTCTCCAGTGCTGAGGAGACTCACGTATCTGAGCATGGGCTGGTGTCACACCCGCTCCAGCTCTTCTGTAGCGTTGTGTAGCGGGTGGAATCTGGGGCTTACCTGTTACTGAGGGTAAAACTTTGTGTGTTAATTCAACACAGTGTCCATCCCTTTTGTGTTTGGCTCCTCAGGAACCACTGGGCTTGCTGCAGGGATAGCTGCTGGGTGGGTACAGACAGTGCAGTCACCGTCACAGTGTCTGTCACGGGGCACCAAGGAATCCTCGGTACTCAGTGTACCTGCGCTGAGTCTTTTATCTCTCTTGATTGTCTCAACATCTGCGTGACAAGGTTGTAATGTGAAGGTGTAGGACTGAGCTGCAGAAGGGCGAGGGGAGCTGGCAAACGTGGTTTTCTGGATGCTAAATGCTTGGTGTAAGGCTGAGTGCCTTGTGTAATCTGTCAGGCTTGTGTGAACTGCAAGGTTTTGTTAAAAGTAAATCTAAGGTCTTTCCCTTGATGCCTTAAAAAGACTTTCAAAGGTTTAAACTGTACCATACAAGGGTAAATATTCCATGGGCAGTAATATGGGATGGAATTTTTAGCTGAAAGAATGGTAGTTTCTCTAAATGACTCCAAGTCAGCCGGCGTTGGGTGCTTGCCTTTCCTGTCCCTTGCTCAGAGCTCCCCAGGCTTTCCTGCCTCAGCACCTGGGAGCTTTGCAACCTGTTTATCCGAGTTTCCAGGAAAAGAGCCGATAGCTCCTTCGGTGGCCGAGCTGCTCCGTAAGTGTCTTTGATTCATCCCTTACTGGAAACGCTGTGATAATTCACTTTGTTTGCACAGCACTGTGCAGGGATCAGGGAGAGGACTTGCTTTTGCTCTGGGCTTAAGCAGCAAAATGTAAATTGTTATTTTTGTCCCCGTGCGTGTTTTGCGTGCGGCTGGTTGGAGATTAGGAACAAATGAATGTCTCCTTTTAAACACAGGGTGCTCTTTCTTCCAGGTCCCTCCAGTGTCCATTTTTTTGGGGGATATAGTCTACAAGTCTGGTTTGATTTCAGCTGTTTACTATGAGCTGTTTACCTCTCCTATGAAGACAGGCTGAAAGAGTTGGGGCTGTTCAGCCTGGAGAAGAGAAGGCTCCGGGGAGATCTTATAGCGACCTCCCAGTACCTGAAGGGGCTACAAGAAAGCTGGGGAAGGACTTTTCATAAGGGCAGTTAATGACAAAACAAGGGGAAATGGGTTTAAACTTAAAGAGGGGAGGTTTAGATTAGATATGGGGAAGAAATTCTTCACTGTGAGGGTGGTGAGCCAGTGTCCCAGGTTGCCCAGAGAAGCTGTGGCTGCTCCTCCCTGGAAGTGTTGAAGGCCAGGCTGGAGGCTTTGAGCAACCTGGTCTAGTGGAAGGTGTCCCTGCTGATGGCAGGGGGGTTGGAACTGGATGAGCTTTAAGGTCCCTTCCAACCCAAACCATTCTGTGATTCTATGAATACTGTAAATAATTTGCAGTCCTCATTGACAAGAACATGGGTCCTTGGTTGATTAACAAAAATTATCAGAAAACTTGACCAAATGATCATCTGGATAACGTGGTTGGCACGTCTGCTGTCTCTGCCCCTTCTCTTCACCTCCTGCTTGTCCTAAGCTTTCTGATTGTGAACTGGACAGACACGTTAATCAACGTGGTACCAGTTTCTAGAAGGTCAGGCTGCTTCTGAGATCGTTAGGTCACCAAATATACTGGAAATTTAACTTAATCCACCACCCAGAGGAGATGTGAAGCTTAAGCAGCATTTGCTTTCCAGATAGAAAGAGGTTTAACAGTGTGAGGAGCCTGTCTAGAGCCAAAAAGTGGAAACCTGTGTATCAGTCCTGTCTCTTAAGCCAGAAGATGCTTTTTCTTCAGTGTGGAATTTCACTGCTTCTTCTTAATGCAGAGAGCAGCATCAGGTGCTTCATGTAAGCACAGAGAAGAGCCACTGATGTTTTTAAGGGTTGTGAAATGAAATCATGCATTCCTTCCTCTCTGGAAAACACTCAAAGGAGCAGCACCGTACTACTCTTGAGCTCGTGAAGAGCAACGGTGACGTGTGTACGACCCAGCAGCGCGTCTGTGCTTCTGGACTCGGTGTGCTGGCTCCCAGCTGCACAGTCAGGTCGTCTCTGTAACCTCCGTCGCAGGAGAAGTTTGTGCAGACTAAGCTTGCAATGGTTAATTTTGGCATCCAGTTGCCCTTGGTGGTATGTGAAGTATTCTGTAGCTTCATTGTTTCTGTCCTTCCTCTGGAGCTTGTGCAGAAATGTCAGCGGTCTCCGAGCACTGTGCCTACGTGCAGAGCTTGGGGACCAGCCTCCGCTCACATTTCTTCATGAAAAGTGAAAATTCATGCCTAACCTAAAAAGATTTTTATTTTTTTTTTATTTTTCACAACCTAATGACAGGGGCAGCAGAGTTTCCTGCGTGAGCGGGTGCCTGGCAGGGCAGCCCCTGAGAGCAAGACTCTGTGAAGCACACGGGACCAAACTGCCCGTGTCCCTGTCTGTGCAGGGGGACAGGTGAACCTGGCTTGGGCAGAAATACACATAGGAGAGCCTGGTCGAAAGGCACCTGCTGCAGTAGCTGGGTTTAATTTCTTGCCAGCAGGAGACTCTCTAAAATATTTTCCAAAATGTCGAGAGATTGGAGCCTTGCACTTTGGTTTAAAAGCGCTTGTTATGTCAGCAGGCTGTGCTCCCAAATTCAGGGGAGTGAAAGATGTGAGGGACCTCGGCTGCTTTAGGAGCAGAGCTGCTGTCTGTTGATCAGTGGTAATGGTTAAACTGGAGCAGGCCCCTGCTCCACTCTGCTTGTCAGTGTCCCAGCTCTTTATGACCATGCAAATGGCTGAATGAAATATGACGGGGCTATTGGAGATGGTAAATCTTGCTTCTCCTAGCAAGTCAGTGGAGGGTCTTATTGGAACTGCTAATGGATTTCCTTCCCCAGCTCTGGTTCAGGTTTGCTCACAGGATAAGTTTATCCAATGAATAAAACGTAGTTGACAAGGTCTGTGACAAACAACTTCACTCTGTTACACAACATGAGTAGTCAAATGTAGAAAAGGAGGTTGCTGTGCAGTCAGAAGCCAGCAGAACTGCTTTGATGGATCTTGGTAATTAGTATTTACTGCAAGTCAATTATGTCACAGGTATTTTAATTAATGGGTGACTGGGAAAAATACAACCACCTGATGAGAAACCTTCAGGAGTGATTTATTTTTCTTATTTTCAAGAGCAGATAACTCTTGTTGAGCCCTCCAGTTTAATGAAGTTCATGGAGTGAAATGAACCACTTCAGCCTATTTTTGGACAGAAATTTTTTGAGGCCAACTCAATGGCCCAGCTGAGAAGTAGGAGCCTCTTGAAATGGGCAAGGAGATAATAAGCCCTCGGAGTTTGGCTTGCTAGTGCCTCTGCTGACCCGTTCTGTGACCCACGCTGGAGGGGACAGGGCTTGTGCAAACCTCTCCAAAGCTCTTTCCATGAGTTTGGGAAACTTGAGAACCCTCCTGGTCCCGTGTGGGGTTCCTGGGGGCTCCCTGAGACACTTCTCAGGTTCCTCCTGGTTTTTGTAGCACTGCCCTCAGCTCCATAATCTTGCAAACCGCAAAGCTCTTGCTGGCCTGATCTCTTGCCATGCCACGTCAGTGTTAGCTGGGTTTGCTCATAGGGTAGAGAGGAATTAGGAAAGGGTAATAATTGTATTTCAGAAGTCACCTGCCACTTACCTTGAATTTACACTTTTCCTACCAGTTTTGTTGCCTGTTCTACTGACACTTCAGCTGAGGGGGATGCTTTTCCTCCTCCTTTCTCTGCCACTCCTACTGCCCCTCTCCTGCCTGTCCATCCCCGTTTGCAGGACAGTATGATCAGTGGCTTCCATAAGTCTGGTGCTTGCAGGTTTTGAGTGGATTGATTTAAGTTGGGCTGCTGCTGTTTGCCTGCCTGTGATTTCTTAGAGACTGTTCCTGTCCCTATGTGCAGGGGCAGCTTCCAAGGAGAGCCGAGCTGGCAACAACTACTGCCTGTGAGTGAGAGTAGAGATTTTCAACAAACCTTTTAGAGTAATCACATTTCTGTAGTAGAGGCAAGCTTCATTTTTTTTCTTGAAGTGCATTGTTGGATATGGCAAGTATGTTTTTGCACCAAAACAGTAGCAAATATGCAGAGAAACACACGTGTTTCCAAGTGTGTGTGATGATTTTTGTTGTTGTTACATCGCAGAAGTAAGAAAGCTCCTGAATCTGCACTGTTGTGCCAACCTCACTGGTTTTGGCAGGAGTTAGCTTTGGTGAGGCTTGTTAGACCAAAGACAAGTTCCTTGTGAAAAACAAGAGGGAAGGAGGAGCAGCACGTGGCCATGAACTTGCACCTCTCACTGTTGAGGTAGTATGGTGTGAGGCTCGGTGTCTGGCTGAAGGAAGAGATGGGAAAAGATTTATTTTGATGTAGAAAAAGACCTTAAAACCTTTATACTTGTCACAAAACTGTTCTGATTTTCCAGCCAGCCCCATCAGCTGTCCTACAAACAGAGGAAAGTTTGTCATTTTAAAGCCTTGCACTTGGAGACAGCCCAGCTGAGGGCTGGTGTGGCAGCAGTGTGCCAGAGTCCCTTTCCATGGAGCTTCACAGTGACCCTGTCTGGTGTTGGAACCTGGAAAACATGCTGGTGCCCATGTCCTTCCCCATCTGCACCTCTTGCCACAGGAGTGCCAGGAGCCCCTGTCTGGGTCACACTCCCCATGTGAGTAACACTTTGTTCTTCACTTCATCCCTTGCAGATCACTTGGTGGCCCACGGACGGATGGCTGAGAAGGAAGCCCGGAGAAAGTTCAAGCAAATAGTGGCTGCTGTCAACTTTTGTCACTGTCGTAATATAGTCCACAGAGATCTGAAGGCAGAAAACCTCCTTCTGGATGCGAACCTGAACATCAAAATAGCAGGTGAGCTCAGAGGAGCGGGGTGGGAGGAAGGCAGCTGCTTTCAGGAGTTAATAAATGTAGGCATTGGCTGCTTCCAGGTATTCAGAAAGAAGGAAGCACAGTGCAGCTAAAGGAAGCTTTGGATTTCTCTGTGGCCTGCTGCCCAGAGCTGGAACTGCCAGGTTGTAGCCAGGAGATTTATAACTCCCTTCAAGTAGTGCAAAATAAAAGGAGAAAAAAGGGGGGGAAGCTAGTTTGGCTTCGTAGGCAGATATGAGGCTGTAGATACTGCAGTGTTCCAATCCACTGGACAATGGGCAACACTAATTAAAAAAATGGACCTTGTTTTGAGTCCTGCTGATAGCTGAGGACTTATTTGAAGCAGGTCAGAGCAGGTGAGAGAGAAAGAATGGAAAGTGAGGGTGACAACGTTTATGGCAGAGCAGTGGAGGGGAAGCAGCACACTTGGAATCATTTCGCTGTCTGACGGAGCAAGAGAACCAGCCCCGGTGCTTTGGGTGTTTTATTCACTGCAGGGAGAGAGGCTGAAGTTACTAAACAAACAGGCTCTCATGCTCTGTTCCCAGGGTTTTCCTGGGCAGTGGGGTTTTTTGCTCATACCTGCCCTTCCAGAGCGTGTGCACCTTGGGCAGTTTCTTGAGTGAGCTAACACAGTTAGCTGGTTGAAACAAGAGGATTGATACCACCCTGGTCACCTCATTTCATGGGCTTTTGAATTGGAAGAGCTCATATTTACCGTTTAATTCAACATAGCAGAGTAGTTTTGGAAAGCACTTTGTTGCCCCCTGTCTTAGACTTCCTTGGAGAGCTTGTCAGCTCTTACAAGGGTTTGTAACTTGATTTTTATTTTTATTTTTTTTAAAGTGCCTAGGGCTACAAAACTTTGGTCTGTGAGCAATTTTAATACTGGGAGTTGGGGAATAGTCTTCTAGCTTGATACCATCTTGGAGAGAGGAAACAGTCTTGTTTGTTGTGTTCCTGTTCTCTTATGTAGCTGGGAGTTTAACATTTGATTTGTAGTAAAATGACAAGTGATTTCTTAGGAGCTGGTGGCAGGTAACGGAGCTGCTCAGGGAGAGGAGATGTGCAGAGGTCTTTCTCAGCAGCACTTTCTGGTCTCTGTTTTAGGCAAACAGATGCACTAATGATTTGAGGCCATCTTGTGTTCACGAGGTAACATCTAATCTCTGTGTAGGGGGGAGGGTGCCTAGCAAATAAAAAGAAAGAAGGAAGTCAAAAACTAACCAGGTAGAAGCTGGAATGAAACTGGCTTTCGAAGTTGTCCACATGAGCATGCTGACAGGCTCTGTGAGTGGCTGAAAATTGTGGAAACTTTTTTGTTTTTAAATCTAAGGGAGCTGGAAACTATTTTCCTTCCAAATCTCTCCTCCCAGAATGGACTCTAGGAGATAGTTCCCTCTCTGGTGGTGGTAGAGTTTTACTTGGCAGGAAGATGCAGTAGTGATTTGAAAAGTAGCCTGGAAAAGCTGATTTATGGTATAGGATTTTCCAAGTGTTAACTTTTGTCCCTATAACTCATCAATTACAACTTGACACCAGTTCTCCCATTGTTTCAAGAGCAAAAAGAAAAAGAAGCGATAGGAACTGATCTCTCCCACCAGACCTCCCAGAATAAAGGCTACAGAAACACAAAGCCCTGCTACACAGGGAGGACGATCAGCTAAACCTTCACTGCCGGACCTGGTAACCATGTCTAACTCAAAGCTCTGCAGTAATGCCTTAAATGTTTGGCTGATGGAAGCCTCAGATATGTCTTGGGTGTCTTCTGAAGGCTCCGCTCGGCGGGGCTGGGCCCCTTTGTCTGGTCCCGTTTGTCTGCCAAGCCGTAGCAATGCCGATAGCCTGAAGGATGCAGCGAGCTGGTTTGTGTGCCATCTCAAACAGCCAGAGCTGAGACTGGGACTACAGCTTTGTGGTTCTTCTGATACCCCAGTGTGCAGCCTTTCGTGATGTCCATAATTCCATCAGCTTTTAGAGTTTCTCAGACTCTCCCCAGAGCAGATTTTTGAGCACGTTACTTCTGACCTGCACTGGCAGCTTTGCATCAAGTCACTGACACTTGGTGAGGCAGTGTGACAGTCCCTGAGGGGGTTGATGCTGCCTCTCTCCCTCAGCGGTGACTGCAGGTGTGTTTTTGGGCTTTTGGGGGGTTTTTTTGCTGGATTGCAAGGATACTGTTCTTCTGTAATCAGTAAGATACGAACGCTGTTGCCCTCGCTCTCATTTTTCCCGTGGACGCTTTTTCTCCCGTGTACCTTCTCAAAGTCTGAGTCAGTAGCTGCTGACACCATGTTCCCTGGTGTTCCCAGTCGGAGAGTTCAGCCAGGAGTTGAGCTGATTGCTAAACACCCAGGCCTTCCTGGGGGGTGGATGGATGGCTTCAGAGAGGAATCTGATCTATGCATCGCTTTGCATTGGCTTGCAAGCGTCTGCTTGCTCTTTCACCTTCTGGGGGTAAAAGTCCCTGTTATGCAGATCCTACAGCCAGCTCCCTGAAGCTCTGCTCTGAAGAAATGTGAGGGACTGGGCCCACTTTTTCATAGCACAGAGATGTTTCTTTTAAGTATTTTCCCTGTATCACATCATTGTGACTTTTACTTTGCTCTTTTCCCTCTGCATCCATTTGTGGAATGAGACCTGGTTGCTCCCTGGGGATCTGAATTTCTACCTCTCCTTGGACTGTGGTGGCTTGTTGTAGTTTTTAAGGAAGTTTGTTTAAGTTGTAGTTTGGGTTTTTTTTTGGTTGGTTTAGCTTTTGTTTTGTTGTTTGTTGCTTTGGGTTTTCCAAGTCCACTCCTTTAACTGTTCTGGGGACTTTTTAAAAGCCTGCTGTTTTCACCAGCCTTGATCTTGGGTCTTGCAGCTCAGGTGGGTTCTGGAAGCTGTTTCCAGGCTTTGAGCAATTCTTCATGGAAGATGGAACCCTCTGGCTCCAGCTGCCCACAGAGACCAGCAGCGTGACTCACCTGGAGCCCGGCAAGTGCTGGGTAGAGCAGCAGCTCTCCACAGGGAGAGGTTTTTCATCCTGAAATCTGGGGTGACCGCAGGAGCTCCAGGACCTGCTGGTTGAACCCCGACGTGCTCACGGCGTCGAACGGGGCTGATGTAGGTAGTGGTTCAGTGCAGCACCACGGGGAACACCTCGTTCCTCTGTCCTCTGCAGAGCTGGAGCTGATGCCAGGCTGCACAGGGTGATACTGCTTTGAAGATATGGCTGGTCCCAAAATGCTGCACAGCCCACTCGAGTACGTACAAGGATAAATAAAAGTCACTAAACCAGAATTAACTTGCTCAGAATTTGGGAAGGACCAAAATTGCAGCGTGTTCTCACACAGTCAGAAGGAGTTTACCTCTAAACTCAACTACAAATGCTTTGCTGTTAGGAGATGGGCATGCACTCAGTGCTGCAGTTTTATTGCCTGCTCCGGTAGCTGTAATTCAGGCACCGCGCTTTAAATGTGAGACACAGCAGCTCAAACGCTTGCAGAGGTGGAAAAGACAACGGTGCAGCTGTGTAATGGTCCTCCAAAGGCTGACTGCTCTCGTGTTTGGGAGCTTGAGTTGACTTCATTTCCAACAGTAAAAAGCCAAAGGCTGTTTAACTGCCTTGTTTTGATATCGTGATGCTTTTAAAGAACACTTACCGTCTCTGTGCTCTGTATTGAGGTGGTTTGAGCAGCGTGGTGTGTACTCCAGGTGTGTCTGCAGGAACACACTACTCTGGGTATTCTTCACAAGCATAAACCATCTCCACGGTGAGAACTTTGCCCCTGCGATGGGATGGGAAGAGGAGAAGTTGGCTCTGCCCTCCTGGAGCTGAGCTCGCAGGAGCTGTGCTGAGCTGTGCTCGGTGGGCTGCTGCCTTTTGCAGGAGCTGTTTGAAAGAGGAGGAGAGGAGAGAATCACCTGAAATTAGGTCATGGAAAATCCTGTCAGGAAAGCAGCGAGCAGGAGCAGGGGCTCACCAGTTAGTGCCTTGTCTGGGGTTTTCTCTGCCTCCTGCACAGAGGTGTTGGCTGTCACTGGCCTGGCTGGTGGCTCGCTCCTGGAAGCTGCTGTGAAACTGGTGCTGGTGTAAAGGGGCTTTTGTCTGAAAGGTGACAGCTGTTTTCCTTTCAGCAGGGTAACAGTGGATGTGTTGGGGCAAACGTGCAGCTTTCTACGATTTAGGGGAACAACCCTTTCTTGATGGCTAAAGAATGGATGCCAAAGTGCTTATCTTTTAAAGCATGATAAATAACTGTAAGGAGAAATAAGCAGATAAAAACAAAAGCTGAATTCTCAAGATGAATGTGTACTTATTTCAAGAAATGGGAAAAAAACTCGAGTGCTTGTGGATCTCTTATATTCTTTGTTTGTACAATACACATGTATTAAAATACACGTTTTCAGTCAAGTTCTCCCTGCATGACACCATGATCTGGTGTTTCAGTGACAGGCAGGCAGCTCTGCGTTATCCCAGAGGTGCTGCAGTTCTGACCACTGACGGAGTCAAAAATAATCTTGGGATCTCTAGAAGAGATTTTTCCTTCCCGCAGCTGTACTGTACGTTCTCACCACGATGCTTTTTGGCTTAATTAGAGGTTGCAAACGGAGTGTTTCTGGCCTTCCTTGTTTTTTCCAGCATTTCTCACACAAGGCTGCCGTGAGGAGGTGCAAACGCCATGAAAAATGTCCTTGTTGCTGCGGGTCCTCGTCTGCACACATTAATGTCACTCAGCCTCCTGCTGGCACACTTCTAGCAGGAACACAGGCGTGGTGGCTTGCAGATAACCTTGGTGGCACCACCTCTTCTGACAGAGCGTGCTTCTGAGGACACCTCCTTCGCAGGATGTGGAGACGCCTCTCTGACTCTCTTGATTTGCTTTTTTTTTCAATTGAGGCAAAAAAAGAAAGAAATTATTAATGAGGATTCCTTCATTCTCTAAGAAAAAGCTCACTTTTCTTGAATCCAGACTTCAATGTCTTTATTCTTTCCAGGGCAAGTCTCAGCTGTGTGCCAGGGGGTGGCAGGTTAATTAGCAGAGAATGCCATTAGTGCCCACGTAAACTGGTGCTTGACTGCCCACAAGGTTAAGACCTCTCTTTTAATTTCTCTTTCAGGATTTATTATTTGTTGTTAGTAAAGGATTTGACTTGGTTTGTAGAGCTGCCCACCACAACCCAAGTTTCCAGCTCATGTGGTGCTTTCCAGAAAATCCAAATTTCCCCTGCTTTTTCCCTTTGTCTACGTTCTGTCCTTGCTGGCAGCTGCCCTGGTCTTAATGAAGCTGTGAAATCTGACATTGGAGAAGCTGAAGGTTGGAAATGAACACACAACATTCGTTTTGGACAGTTGGAGTCGATTGTATTCCCCTAATCCTTTCTCTTTTTCTTCTTCATTTCAGATTTTGGGTTCAGTAACATCTTCACACCAGGTCAGCTGCTTAAAACCTGGTGTGGGAGCCCACCCTACGCTGCTCCAGAGCTCTTTGAGGGAAAGGAATACGATGGGCCAAAGGTTGACATTTGGGTATGCAGTGAACCTCTTTCTCTTTTACTTGGATCTCATTTTTGCTCTGGTTGGCTTTGCTTCCTCAGTACTTACTGTGTGTCTCAGAGAAAAGCCCATGATATGGCAAAAAATGGGGTTTTTTTAGGAAATGCTTATAAAATGTTACTCTGGCTACTGTGTCATATGTTTTCTGTATTGAGAGGTATAGTGCCAAAAATATTAGTTGCCCAGAAATGCATTTAAATTTAGTTTCCCCAAAATATGGTTCACTTCACTTCACTTCACTTCGCTGCTGCTGAGTGGCAGAGCACTTACTGCGGTGGGGCCTGATCTGGCAGAGCTGAAAGAGGAAACTTGGAGTTTTGCTCCACGAGGTTTTTGGGGGGAGCACATCAGCACAGACACTCGGGACATTCTCCTCCGTGGCAAAGCCTGCTTCACTCTGCAGCCCTGCCTGGCAGCTCTGGCTGGGTTGCCCACTGTCCTCCCTCTCCTCCTCGCAGAGCTGTGCCAGGGAGGGCAGGAGCGCGGGAGGGCAGGGGTGGCATGAGCTGGGTCGGAACCAGCCGGGCCGTTGCCATTGCCAGTTCACTGCAGTTTCTCCTCTAACACTCCTGCCCTGACTTTGTTTTGGCTGCAGAGCCTCGGCGTGGTGCTGTACGTGCTGGTCTGTGGAGCTCTGCCCTTCGACGGGAGCACGCTGCAGAACCTGCGGGCCAGGGTGCTCAGCGGGAAGTTTCGCATTCCATTTTTCATGTCCACAGGTAAGGGCTGTGCAGACCACGGCCGGTGTGTCCCTGCCGTGCTGAGCACGTGCTGGCCACCTCTCTGCTCACTGATTCTTTGCAGCACTCCCATTCTCGGGTAGCAGTTGATTTCTGTGGCAGTGGAGGGGCATGCCAGGAAGCTGATCCACTGGGTGGTGGTTTGTAACTTAAGCTAAAATGAGTTCTGAATCTAGAATTTAGAAACCAAAATACTCTTACTTAAAATCTCAGCTGTCATCTCTATAACTATACAAGCTATAGCAAAAATAATAGTGGCAATGACATACTCTTTTCTAAATCTTGTGAAATGTGAAAGCTAAAAATGGAATAGTGATTTAGGAATATAGAGGCTTTCGCTCTACCTGTTATAGACCAGAAGCTTTTTACAGCATTATGGCACATGAATTTCCAGCAATCGCCCCATCAGAGATGAACATCTATGTCCTGCTTCTGAAAAAAATGCCTCTGAATGCTTGAGTAATGAATCTGGTTTCTGAAAAGTGTGATTAATTCTCAGATAAATCCAACTTCACTTAAGAAGGGGTCCTGTGTAGGTTCTTGGTTGCCTGCTCTCAGGTTCAGGTATAACTTTGGGCTGTGTGGAGTTTCCTAACTGAAAGCCCCCTCGCCTGCTGCCTTCCTTGGGGAAGAGGTTCTTTTCATACAGAAAAGGCTTGCTAAAATACATGGTGGACTTAAAAAAGCTTAGATCCCACCCCAAATGGGGGAGAGCCTCAGCAGTCCCCCATGTTGGCAGCACACACGTCATACGATGGAGAAATCATTCGCAGTGAGCTCATGCTGAGTGGGGAACGTTCAGAGGATGCTTTGCCCTTCAACCCCCAAAAGCCAGTCGTGTCCCCTGGCCATGGCCAGCCAGGCAGGGAGGGACAGGGTGACAGCATGCCACCTAGGGGCTCGGGCTAACAGCACAGGGGCCTGGTAGCCCGGGTGGCTTCCTTCCATCCCAGTGGCATGTCAGGGACCGAAGGTGCAGAGGGAGAAGTAGTATTTTTGCCACATGTGGCTTTGAAAATAAGAAGCGCTTCTGCCCTGGCAGCGCCGGGCTGGGGCAGCCGCCTCCAGGGTACCCAGCCTCTCTCTTCCCTCGCAGAATGTGAACATCTGATCCGCCACATGCTGGTCCTGGACCCGAGCAAGCGGCTCTCCATGGAGCAGATCTGCAAACACAAGTGGATGAAGCTCGGGGAGGCTGACGCTGAGTTTGACAGGGTGAGAAGCAGACGCGAGCGGGGTCTGGTCGGTGGCTGCCGGGCAGCAGACGTCGCTCATCGCTGCAACGTTCGTTGTGGCTGTTTGAGAACTCTCATTCCAAGCACTGATGTGCTGCCTTTCTGCCTCCTGCATCTCCTGGTCTTGCTTTCCACATCGCTCCTCATCTGCAAGTATTTTTGCAACAGCGTGCCACCTAGGGGCTCAGGCTAACAGCACAGGGGCCTGGTGGCCCGGGTGGCTTCCTTCCATCCCAGTGGCACATCAGGGACCAAAGGTGCAGAGGGAGAAGCAGTATTTTTGCCACATGTGGCTTTGAAAATAAGAAGCGCTTCTGCCCTGGCAGCGCCGGGCTGGGGCAGCCGCCTCCAGGGTACCCAGCCTCTCTCTTCCCTCGCAGAATGTGAACATCTGATCCGCCACATGCTGGTCCTGGACCCGAGCAAGCGGCTCTCCATGGAGCAGATCTGCAAACACAAGTGGATGAAGCTCGGGGAGGCTGACGCTGAGTTTGACAGGGGGAGAAG